ATATCTAATTTTGGTATGAGATTGAAACTAGAGAAATGTGAATTTGGATTAGCAGAAATTAAATATTTGGGATTTTTTATATCAGAAAATGGAATCAGACCAGACCCAAAAGACTTAGAATGTATAAATAAAATAAAACCTCCAAATAATTTACACGAATTAAGAGCATTTTTGGGAGCAGTCAATTATTTTAGAAAATTTATACCATCTTGTGCTAAAATTCTCGGCCCATTATATGAATTAACTAAAGATAATAAATTTAAAACATCTAAAGAATGGAATGAAGAAGAATGGAATTCATTTAACGAAATAAAAGAAAAATTAAAAAGTCCGCCAGTATTGGCGCCACCTAATCCTAAAGAAAGTTATATAATAGAAACAGACGCATCATTAAAAGGCATAGGTGCCGTATTAATTCAAAATAAACACCCTGTAGCATACTATTCCAGAACACTTAAAGACACAGAAAAACGTTATCATATTAATGAATTAGAAGCATTAGCTATTAATCAAGCTCTAAAAGAATTTTCAATTTATATAATCGGTACAGGCACGACAATAATTAAAACAGATAACAGTCCAATATGTTCTATTTTAACAAGAAAAGACTTAACTGGTAGATTAGCTAGATTTCAATTAGCTATACAAGCTTACGATGTAAAAATAATACATAGATCCGGTAAAACTAATAAATTCGCTGATTATTTAAGTCGAAATATTAATGTAGTAACAAGATCACAAGCAAAAGCAAATTATTTATCTAGCTCGGAAAGTGACGAAGAACAATCTAATAATAACTTAAATACTAATATTAATAAACAAATTTCAATATCTAAAACAATTAAACTACAAAAAATGTGCCCAGAATTAAGAAAAATTATAAACGCCTTAAATGGATATTTTCCACAAAATAAATCAGAAAAAGAGCTATTACAAGAATTAATTAAAAGTTATTCAATAATAAACGGAGCTTTACATTTTATTGACTTAAAAGGAGTCGCAAGACTTGTAATACCATATATTATGAGAGAAAATATACTTAAAATTATACATGATAATCCAGGAGAAGGCGGCCATTTAGGAATTAATAAAACATTACAAAAAATGAAATTAAGATTTTATTGGCCAAATATGAATGAAGATATTAAAAATTATATTATATCCTGTGAATCATGTCAGAAAGTAAAAGACGCTTTTCATCCAAATCATGAAGAATTATATCCTATTAAAAAACCTAGTATTCCGTTTGAACACTTACATATGGACGTTATAGGTCCATTAATAACAAGTACTAAAGGTTCTAAATATATACTATCAATTATCGACAGCTTTTCTAAATATTTAATATGTTGCCCGTTAAAAGATCAAACGGCTCCATCAATTATGAGAATAATAATAGATCAAATAATAACTAAATATGGCGTACCTAAATATATTACTAGTGATCAAGGACGAAATTTTACTTCACAAATTATGAAAGATATATCTAAAATATTCGGATTTGAACAAATATTTACAGTAAGTTATCATCAAAGTGCTAACGGGCAAGTAGAAAGATCTAATAGAATTATAAAATCTATTTTATCCCATTATGTAGATAAGGAAGGTAGAAATTGGCAAGAATATTTACAATTAGCCACTATGGCATATAATTCATCTAAACAGGAAAGTACACAATATAGCCCTTTTTATATATTATATGGAAGAGAAATGAAATTACCAATAGATAGAGTATTAGAAATTGGAGAGAACGATCATAATAATACAGATATTACACTTTTTCAAGAAAATTTAACAGATAAATTAAATAATATATGGAAACAAACAAAAATAAATATCGAAAAAGCACAAGAAAAACAAAAAGATAATTTTGATTTAAAAGCAATCCCTCAAATTTCAAAATAGGAGATTATGTAATGAAAAAAGTTGAAGTTCCAACTCATAAATTTTCGAAAAAATATGACGGTCCCTTCCAAATAATATCAATAAATAAACCAAATGTGACATTGAAAGAAAATGAATCAAAGTTAATTGAAACACATTTAGATAAAGTTAAACACTATAATAATAAATTGCCACTTGAATTAAGAATACTAAATGAAAGGCCAAATGAAAAGATTATATATAAAGATAAAAATATTGAAAGAGAGGAGTCAGAAACAGATATATAACATTTCTTCGTATTTACAAAATAAAATATTTATATAATAAATAAAAATTTTCTTTTAATATTTTATTTAGTTTACATTTTTTACCATTTTTTTAACATTTAATAACGTTTTAATAACATTTAAATTCATTTTAAATTTATAATATTTTTATAATAAGTATTATATTTTAACCATTATAATAATTTATAACTATTTTATAATTTAGAATTTCATAAAGCCTTCAATTTATTAAAATTATTTAAAAATGTCTGAAAATAACAAAAATAATGAAGTTGTTGAAAAACAAAATGAAGAAAAACAACCAGTAATAAAGAAGAAGGAAGAGAAAAAGTGTAAGGGAAATTGTGTTCTTGAATTGAAGGAAAGTTTGGAAAACATCAAAGAGGCTATATTATTAATTGCGGAAAAGAAGGAAGAAGATAATACATCAGAGGAGGCTTCATCATCAGCAGCAGAAGTGCCAATACAACAACAAAATTATCATGGACGGGGAAACTATCAACAATATCGAGGTGGTGGAGGAAGAGGAAATTATCGTGGACAACGTGGAGTACGCTTCTATGAACCATATTTTAAACAACAGGACCGCTACCGACATGCTGGATCCCATTATTGAGAGAAAAAGAAGAATATGATGAAGAAGAAAACAAGTTAAAATTAAAAATAAAAAGAAATTTTTTGTTAGGATTAAAAAATAATAATAATAAGATTTTCTTAAATTAAGTAAGCTTTAATTATTTAAAATAAAAATATTTTACCACATTTAAGTTAAATAACCACATTTTTTTAAATGTTTTTTTAAACAATTTTTACCACAATTTTTACCAATTTTTACCATATATGTCGTCATTCTTTTTTTTTGCCGGCCGCATTAATAAAAAAATATATAATTTTTAAACATATACATCCCCCCTTAAAAAATATTTTTTATTATTCCTTCTACCCCCTCTCCCACTTAAAAATTTAAAAAAAAAAATATATTTTCATATCCCCCCTTAAAAAAAATAAATTTCATATTTTTCAAACCCCTCAAAAACTAAATTTTCAAAAAAAAATAATATTTTCATACCCCTCTCAAAATTTAAACTTTAATGCCGGGGTCGGCATTTAAAAAAGAATGAGGCATGTAACGGTATAAGGCGTGGCCTTTTAATTGCCAGCCGAACATTTTATTTCCACACCATCTCCCCATATATTTTTCACTTTTAATTCCAATCACTTAATTTCCCTTCTCCCCCATTCCTCACACATATATTTGTCTTTTTATTTTTTAATTAAATAAATTTTATTTTGAATTACTTTTAATTTTATAATTTAACTCAGGGGTAAACCATCCGGGGCTCCGGCCCTAGTTCTTCCGTGGACTAGGATAACCGGAGCTGCCGTCGAACCGTTCCCTTCCTTTCCCAACAACCCCCACCCCAGCAACATTACATGCTTTTCATTTATTTTTTAAATTTTATTAAAAAATTACTAATATGTTATAACTTTCGTCTCTCATAATTACTAATTACCGTAAATGCTGACATAATTACCCTCTCTAATAATTACCCCTAGTTATTTTACTCAAACTTTAAAAATAAGGAATATATAAGGAATATAAGGAATATATTGAAATGATAATTCAAAGATAATCTAATTGAAAATAATTTGAATTACTATCAACTTTGATTATTGGAACAACTCATTATCAAAAAATAAATCAATTTCGCTTCAACTGGATTGAGATATACCCTAAATCCAGCACATCTTCCCTAATAATAATTACCTCCTCCAGCGAGAGGTTGAAACTAATTTATCTAGTGTAATTATTTCAGCATTTACGGTAATCAATTTTAATGAGATTCCCAGGAATAATTTTAAAAATTTTAAAAGGATTTCTGAAAAAAATTTTTAATAAACCGACGTAAAAACATCATTTTTTGAACATTTTTCTACAAAATCTCTAACGTATTCTTAACAAAAGAAATTCTTAAATTAAACCTAAACTCCAAACCTCTACTAAATTTTAACTTATTTTGGAAACTCTTTTTTGTTTAAAAACACTAATTTAATTCGAATACCCAAAATAAAATTTACCAAATAATCCTTTATGAGGAAAAAAATGTTAAATAATTTAAAAAAACGTTAAATAAATTTAAATAAAAATAAGAAAATGATGATTCCGGTTATTTTATAATCCGAAGAAACCGGTAGGGTATCCTTTGTAATTTTTAGAAAACCTTAGTTTGGTAATGTAGTCTTTATAAACTACCCCAAGAACCGGAATAAACATTTTTAAATGGATAATATACATAAATATGGATATAAATGTTGAATAAAAAAATCTTTTGTAAAAAGAAAATTAAAAAAATTTTAAATAATGCCCCAAATAAACTAGAAAAAAACATTCACAAATGGGAATTTTTTGGTGAAATCACACGGTGACAGCAATAAATGGTTAGGGAATTTAAAGAAGTAAATATTTACATGATTTCAAGGAGCTATGAATTTTTATTTTACATATTCCAAAATTTGTTTTCAATTTCATTTAAAAATTCATAACTCAATCAACGGGAAATACCGTATTTAATCTAATAGAACCACCGGTGGTTGGGGTGGTTAGGGTTGCGCCCCGACCCCCGACTTTTTCAACCCCGAAGGCTCGGGACTCAACCCTAGGGTGGTTATATTAGACACAGTAGTTCTAATAGAGACAGTGGTTCTATTAAAATAAATTCGGTACTATATATAAATATGATGTAGGTATATAAAATAATTTAAAAAGTTTTTCAGTTTGTTTAGTCAGTCTGTTTTGCCAATTCCTTGGTTCACATCAAATCCATTCCTTCAAGCAGTTATAGCATGACACGTAGCACAGCAATTTGTTATGTACGATTTTTTCAATCTCTTCAAAAAGAAGTTATCATTGTCTTCGATTTTGCACATTTTGGGTAAAACACACATACTGGGTATGACATCAGTACAATCTAAATTAAATTAGAATAATAAAAAAATATTAAAATAATTTTATCTAATTTTCTATATTAGGTATAAAGAGATTACCATCTGGTTTTTTGGTCGAGGTTTCAGTTGTTGGAGTTGTGGGAGTTGTTGTGGTTGTTGGCGTAGTGGGTGTTGTAGGTGTTGATGTGCATATACTCTCGCACTTGATTGGAGCACATGTTTCTCCTTCCGCAAGACATTTAATACTTGTTGCCTAAATTTATGAGTAAAACTAAGTTCAAAAATAAGCAATGGACCTTGATATAATAAGTGGCAGAGCTAATCATTGGCTTGTACATATTTCGGTTAGTGCCTGGAATTTTCATCAATTGATCGTCAAGTGTAATTTTCTGTCCATTATCGCTTTCCAAAGTTTGAGTTTTTGGTTCAATATTGTTCATTCTCACATACATATGACAAACACTCAAATTAGTTGGATCACAATGTGAGTTAATCACTAATTGAGCCAATGCATTAGTCAACTTCCAACAAACACCTTTATCGTCACAAACACAAAAGCTTTCCATAATTGAACATTGCATGTTAATGGGGGAAGATCCAGCATCTTTACCAGTCGTAATTTTAGCAACAGGATGGAAAAAGACCATTTTACTATCTGGACAGGACGGGCAATCACATTCTCCTGCGGGTTTCACTTGTGTTTTTATTTTTGGATCTTCCTTGTTGTAGATAAGCATAGCAGTAAGTGGTGGTTGAATACACTGAATTGGAGCAGAGCATGGCGTAGTGGGAGTAGTTGGTGTTGTTGGAGTAGTAAGCGTTGTGGGAGTAGTCTCTGTAGTAGGAGTAGTCGGAGTCGTTGGCGTTGTGGGAGTAGTCTCAGTTGTCGGAGTCGTAGGTGTAGTAGGCGTCGTGGGAGTAGTCTCTGTAGTAGGAGTAGTCGGAGTCGTTGGCGTTGTGGGAGTAGTCTCAGTTGTCGGAGTCGTAGGTGTAGTGGGTGTTGTGGGAGTAGTTTCTGTAGTAGGAGTAGTCGGGGTCGTTGGCGTTGTGGGAGTAGTCTCAGTTGTCGGAGTCGTAGGTGTAGTAGGCGTCGTGGGAGTAGTCTCTGTAGTAGGAGTAGTCGGAGTCGTTGGCGTTGTGGGAGTAGTCTCTGTTGTCGGAGTCGTAGGTGTAGTAGGCGTCGTGGGAGTAGTCTCTGTAGTAGGAGTAGTCGGGGTCGTTGGCGTTGTGGGAGTAGTCTCAGTTGTCGGAGTCGTAGGTGTTGTGGGAGTAGTCTCAGTTGTCGGAGTCGTAGGTGTAGTTGGTGTTGTGGGAGTAGTCTCAGTTGTCGGAGTCGTAGGTGTAGTAGGCGTTGTGGGAGTAGTCTCAGTTGTCGGAGTCGTAGGCGTTGTGGGAGTAGTTTCAGTAGTAGGAGTAGTCGGGGTCGTTGGTGTTGTGGGAGTAGTCTCAGTTGTCGGAGTCGTAGGTGTAGTAGGCGTTGTGGGAGTAGTCTCAGTTGTCGGAGTCGTAGGCGTTGTGGGAGTAGTTTCAGTAGTAGGAGTAGTCGGGGTCGTTGGTGTTGTGGGAGTAGTCTCAGTTGTCGGAGTCGTAGGTGTAGTTGGTGTTGTGGGAGTAGTCTCAGTTGTCGGAGTCGTAGGTGTAGTAGGCGTTGTGGGAGTAGTCTCAGTTGTCGGAGTCGTAGGCGTTGTGGGAGTAGTTTCAGTAGTAGGAGTAGTCGGGGTCGTTGGTGTTGTGGGAGTAGTCTCAGTTGTCGGAGTCGTAGGTGTAGTAGGCGTTGTGGGAGTAGTTTCTGTAGTAGGAGTAGTCGGAGTCGTTGGCGTCGTCGGAGTAGTTTCAGTTGTCGGAGTCGTAGGTGTAGTAGGCGTTGTGGGAGTAGTCTCAGTTGTCGGAGTCGTTGGCGTTGTCGGAGTAGTTTCAGTTGTCGGAGTCGTAGGTGTAGTAGGCGTTGTGGGAGTAGTCTCAGTTGTCGGAGTCGTAGGTGTAGTTGGTGTTGTGGGAGTAGTTTCTGTAGTAGGAGTAGTCGGTGTCGTTGGCGTTGTGGGAGTAGTCTCAGTTGTCGGAGTCGTTGGCGTTGTCGGAGTAGTTTCAGTTGTCGGAGTCGTAGGTGTAGTAGGCGTTGTGGGAGTAGTCTCAGTTGTCGGAGTCGTTGGCGTTGTCGGAGTAGTTTCAGTTGTCGGAGTCGTAGGTGTAGTAGGCGTTGTGGGAGTAGTCTCAGTTGTCGGAGTTGTAGGTGTAGTGGGGGTTGTCTCAGTTGTGGGAGTAGTTGGAGTCGTTGGAGTAGTCGGAGTCGATGTCGTTATAATCTCACATTTTGTAGGAGCACATTTACTTCCCGCTGTTAAGCAGCTAATACTTTTTGCCTAATAATCGGAATTTATTTAAAAATTTGTGGAAGTCAATGTGTTGGGGATGTGGTAGTATAGATTAATCCCGATTTATTTTTAAAACAATTTATCTCTATAAAACAATATTCGAGGACTCTAAAGATGTAACTAGAGAGCGAGATTTTCAAAAAAACCCTGATCTTTGACCTTGATTTGGGTGGGTACCTTGTCCAGATTTTTGATTTTGAGTAAAGGAAAAATCAAGGATTAATTCATGGATCCAGGCCTTTATTCTTTATTTTTTATTTGACGGATATCAGGAGATTAAGTGGGATCTATACTGGTATTTAAAGGGATATTGAGGGATTATGGGATATGGAACAGGATTTGACCGGATATCGAGGAATAGACTATTTTCCTCGATGAAATATAAGACTTTTACCACATACTTTTACATAAGCATTTGAATCACTTTCCATCTTTTTGAATGAATTCTGTTTTTCATTAATCTTCATTAGTTGATCACTGAGTTTGATTTGCTGTCCATTATCACTTACAAGAGTTTGAGTTTTTGGTTCAATGTTGTTCATTCTTACATAATTATGACAGGCTTAAATTAAATATAAAATTTAATTAAGATGTAAATAATTACTCGGATCGCAATATGGGTTAATAATCAGTTCGGCATACGCGTTTTCTACTGTCCAACAAACGTCAGATTCATCACAAACACAATAATCTTCCTTTTTTCGACATTGCATGCCTATTGGGGACTCTCCTGCTTTTGGACCAGTCGGCGGGATTTGTTCTCCAGGACTGAAGAAATATATTTTCTTTGTTGGATCCGACATGCATTCACACTCTCCAGCTGGAGTTTTTTGAGTTAAAATATTCGGATCATCCTTGTTGTAGATAATCATTGAGGTGTTTGGTGGTTGAGTGCAATTTCCAGGTAGTGCAGATCCGTCGCCATTTACGGATCTGGGGAGTAATATGGATAAGAGTATTATTACAACCCTTATATCCATACCCGTTTTCCTTGCCGAATCTTGGCTATACAATTTGTTTAAAATTTTGGGATTTAACAAATTGGGCAATCGAGGGATTTTCCGCTAATGAATTTAATTTAGATAGGGAATTTGAATGTGAATGCCTTTCGAGGCAGTAAAATGGCAAAAGTTGAGAGGCGGGATATATAGAGATGCGTTGCGATTTCAACACGTCGACTTAGAGTTAGAGATAGAGAAGAGTCGGAGAGGCTGTCGATTATGAGGAGCTAGACATGGCCATCCTTATGCCTTTAAATGCCATCTTTACATAGGCAAAAAGTCATAAGTCACAATGCCCTTTACACAATGCCCTTTACATATTACTCTCCCTCTCAAAATTACAAACTACATTCGCAACGCTTTGTGTGGGCATTGTAAGAGAGGATTTTGTTTAATTAATCGCTATAACTAAAACTGTACATTTATTCGCAGCTTTATCCTTTTAATTTTTAATCAACTTTAAGTATCAAAGCCAATCATATACTTCAATTTATTCCTTCCAGGTTTTCAGCTTCAATTAACTTTTCCCTCGTTTTCTTTTTTGTTTTTTTTTTGTTTTTATTATTTTTTATTTTCTCGTATTAATTTTAAAAATTAAATAATTTATTAAAAATAGTAATATTTATCAAGACATATTCCAAAATATTTTTTAAAAATTTTAATTGTCCGAAAAAATTGATGATTTCAACAAAATATACAAATAAATATTTAGTAAAATAATATGTATATTATTTTTTTATTAATATTTGCGAATATATGGACTTTCTCAAGGATCCCATTCAATGGCACTTGATTTCTTTCACGTGCCTTTTATTTCAAAATTAGACAAGTGACTTGACGAATCGATTAAAAAATTTTAAATTAAATAATTAATTAATTAATTAATATTTTAAATAAATATAATTTATTTATTTTTGTTTAAGTGTTTGAATAATTTTTGGAACTTAATGATATTTACTATAATTAAATTTTATCTGTATTTATCTGAAACATTCAATAATAAATTCAAATTGACAAATTATTTCAGAAAAATAATTTTATCAATAAATAAATAGGTTGTATATTTTCATTTTATTTTAAATTTTCACCTGCATCGTAACAAATAAATATGTTTATTTATTTAGTTTTTTTAGTTTCAAATTTTTTTTGAATTTTTTTTGAAATTTTTGGGATAAAAAAATGAGAGTAGGGAGTATATACAATAAATAACTTTTCGATTATTTTATTTTTGAAATAAAAAAATTTTGTGAATAAAACAATGGGAGAATAAATGAGCGAAAGCTCGTTACACTATTATAATTTAAATTAAGTTTTCTATTTGAAATTATTTTATAAATTTAATTAGAATCTTGTATTTATTTACCGTATTTCTTCTAATAGTGCGACGGTCTTTAATAGACGGACCCCTTCTAATAAACCGACTCCCTAGAGGAAGGTTGAAAAATAAACCGACCGGTCGCACTATTAGAAGAAATACGGTATTTATTTTATAGAATTAAACTTGAAGAATTTTATTTAAACGAAATTAATTCTGTTCTCAAATCAGAATTTTATAATTATTTTTACGTCCACAATTCTACAAAATATTGCAATTAATAAAAAGGTTTTTAAAAAATTTTTCATTTTTGTTTGTTTACATTCCCACAATTCTGGAAAAATGAGTATGAAAAGAGTAATATTAAACAGCTATTTACACAGAAAAATAAATAAAAATATTTTTTTATTTGAGGAGAATCGTCATGGTTTTGTTGCAAAATTATTAAAAATTTAAACATTTTTTGCTTTTGCATTAAATAAATTTTTATTGCAACATTTTTATTTTAAAGTTTCGCGCATTCCATTAAAATTGAATAAAATAAACTTTTGATAAAATAATTAAATTTCTATGAATTTTAAGTAGATATCTAAGAGTAAAATTTTATTATATTCTGACCTGGCAGACAATTAATTAGCTTATCATTAATCCTATATGGCTGGCGCGTTAACTAAAAATTTAAACTTTTGCCTTGGAGATGTAAGAGTTTACTTTAAGAAATTATGGAATATTTACAGGTTATCATGCTTTGTAATCCAGTTGTGTTGCAGTTAGCCTTCTTATACATAAAATTTGAGAATTTTAGGTCTTCATAAGTTAAGAGAATCACGTTAGAGATTCAAGCCACATAATTGATGTAAAATTAAAATTATTTTTGAATAAAAATGATAGAAAGTTTTGCCGAGAATTGCCGATGTTTCAAAAAGACAATGAAAGAAATTAAAGATACAATGGTATTTCTTTAATTTTTTCATTAATGCCAATTACGAGTTTTTACTCGAACTTATTGCTCGTACTCGTACCTCGTTTTTGCACTGATTGAAATCTTGAGGTCAATGTTTTTTTAATTTAAATATCTTTTTTTAGTAAATACTTTTCTTCAAAATATTTTTTTAATTTTTTAGTCCATACTTCATTTTAAATTCATTCACACTTTTTTTCATTTTTACATGTTTATTCATGAGGAGGGGAACACACAACACTATGTATACTAATGTTAGAAATAAAATTCTTTAAAGTGAGATATTAGCTACTAACAAATTCACAAAGCCTCCTTCATTGTTTCTAAAGAAAACCAAGAAAAAAAATAAACTGGAATGAATGCAAATTTGATGAGTTTTCAATGAATAATTTTTTTGTTTTTTTTCAAATTTAGATAGAAGGTTAGTATTTTTGTTTTATTTTTTTAAAAGTAAATAATTAGCGATTCTATTGTTTTTCTTTGGGCGTTAGTTTTTTTACAAGAAGGAAATTAATAAATAAATTTTATTTTAAAAATAAAAAAAATATAAATGATGTTTTTTTAATTTATTTTTGTCGATTTTTAAAGTTATTCGGCTTTTAATTTATATTCACCAGGGTTTCGATCTCGAATTTTTAAAAATCAATTTTGATAAAAAAATCAACATTATATATCCACATTTTTAAAAATAATCCTCGTGGCCCTATCAAAAAACCACAAAATAAGGAAAAATCCGGACATATCAAAACCCTGAAATATTCCCTCCTTCAATTCCAGGGTTTCGATTCTCTACATTCTCAATTTGAAAAAATATTATTTAATAAAATTAATAAATTTAGAACCGAAATTGTGTCGATAGTCAGAGGTGTCAGAAAACGTAAATCCGAAGAAACGCTGTAAATTGGAGGCAGAAACTAGATTTTCTACCTAGCGAGATTTTTGTTAATCCAGAATTTTAGTTTATTTAAACATTTTTCTAAAATTTATTTAAAAATATTTCCGGTTTTAATTTATTTTTAGATGTATTTTCTGTAAAATATTTTTTAAAAAATAAATTTTATTTTTTAATAAATAAATACATATTTTTACAAAATAACTCCGCCTTTTATTTTCTACATTCTCAATTTTCCTTTCCATTTACAAATTTTTTATGTATGCCTCTAATATTTCATTTATTTATTCTTCTACATCAAGAGGGCATTTCCTCCACCTTTTAATAAAGTTTAAAGAATAAAAATTTTTTAATAAATATTTTTATTCGAAAATATTTTTCTTTGTTTGTTTAATTAATTTTAATTTAATTAAAAATATTTTAGAAAATGCTTATTTTTATTAATTATTTAATAAATTAAATTCTAATTTTCAAAAAATAATAAAAAATTAATTTACAGAAAATATGTTAAATAATTTTAATTATTTAATCTCAAAATATTACTTAAATAAAAATATTTTATTAATATTTATATTTCAACTTTATTATGCTTTAGGTGTCCCTCATTTTTCAATTAAATCAGTAACCACACGTTCTGTTGTTATTGAGGTTTATTTTTTTTAATTTTTTAATTTAAATGTTCCCAAAACCTTTCTAATTTAATAATAACTTTAATATAAATTTTTAAACAAAAATTATTATTAAAATTGTTTGGAATATTTAATTTTTTGAGATTTGCTTTTATGAGACTGAATGACTTCTGTAAAGCATATAGCTTTTTAATTCCTAAGTCTATGCAGTAGGCGGTGTAGTGTAATGGATAACACATCAGTCCGGTCTACTGAAGATGCTGGTTCGCTCCCAGCCGCCGAATAACCTTTTGAACTAGCTAAGGGAGAGAAATAGCCATAGCCCAGCTGCTTTACTCTTCCCAAATCAAAATTATAATAAACCAAAGTTTCGGTCTGTACCTGTCCAGTCTAAATATTCCCAGAACATTCCAAATAAAAATAATTTTCCTTTCAACCCCAAAAAAATAAATTTAAAACTTTCAAATAGATGGCCGATGCTTTAAATGTAAATCGCTTTGATATGCGTGTTCTAATATTTGATTTAGAAAAACTTCGAGAATTTCGAAAAAGTGAACTGACTGGTGCTCGTTACAATGCACAGGCATTATTTTTATTTTTTTTATTTTTTAGAAAAAGTAAAAGTGTTAAATTAAATTAATTCCCATAAGAATGTTTTACTTAGATTTTATCGTTTTATTTTTTTAAGTAAATGAACGTACAAGATATTAGAATATTACGTTTTTTAAGAGAAAATTTAATAAAAAAAATTATTTTTTTTTGTAATTAAATAAATTTTTTGTTTTATTATTATTTAATAATAAAAACTATTTTTATTTAAAAAATATTTTATTTTATTCTAAAAAGTTATATTACCGTAAATACTTTAATAGAAGCTCTAGGCTTATATTTTTCATTAGGTCTCCTTCATGGGCTTAAATTATTTTTTTAACAATGCCGTCAGTTCGACGGCACTTCTTCCTTACCTTCGTTCGACTTGTCACTTCCTTTTCGACTTTTACGCCGGATCGGCACTAAATCTGTATGCCCTATGCCCTCCACATTGACTGTGTTTATAGTATTACAGGGTGACCCAAAAAACTTTATTCAAATGAAAGATATTGTGATAAATTTCTGATTAAATTAAAACTGCTCGGTAAATTTTGGGTCACCCTGTAGAATATTTACGATAATTTTAAACTT